TAAAACTAGTTTAATCCAGGGCAAATATCCACTCAAATAGAAGGTATTCCGTATGGTTCTCTGAAATTGCTTACGGTTAGACGAAGAATGACGTTTGACAGCTCCTGCGTTTGACAATTTGTATGAATTTCGCCAGTTTGAAAACTGTTCTCTTTGAAATTCTTTTGGTCCAAGCTTAGCTATGTCCTCCTTTCAACTATTTTTTTGTTTGGAAGGGAAAAAATCAGTAACTACTCACGTAGCATTATGAGGGAAAAGGCATCATCTTTTGTACGGTTTGAAGAAATTTTAGGTGAGCAAATACAAACATTTCTCTTAGCTCTAAACGAGAGTTGTCTCCTTCTAAGTTGAAATCTTATCTATCTGTAGCGTTATATCTGATTCCTTTTACCTTCACTGCGGCCCAACTGATCAATCAGTTAATCTTGATTTCACGCTTTGAGAGAGATATTACCTCGGTAATTCCCAAACCTGAATGAGCCCATAAACGAGCGAACCTTATATTAAGCTTTTCGCGGCAATTAACGAAGCACAGTGTAACAAGCGGAAACGCGCCCTAATCAGTGCATCAAAGACAGCCGCATTATCGAAAACATTACCTTGGACAGAAATATTTGCTCCTCTTATAGCTGTAAGATTAAGAAATTTTAACATTCTTTTTCAACAACCGAAAAAAGGAAGGAAACAATCAAATGAATTACAATTTTCCTTGGAGGATTAGGATGTTTTTCAGGAAATATATGGAATTTTAATAAAAAACTCATGGGTATTTTGCTATCTCTTAATTGTCTCGAGGGAGCAAATTGATCGTTAATCCGTGTTTACTTTTGTCTACCATTATTGGAAATCGAATCTTAATTCTTACTATTTCGTCTTTGAAACATGTCGCTTGGATGTAACAATTTTAATGAGAAGTTGTCATTTTTTTAAACGGACTGAAACAGGCAAGAACATACTTCTGCTCAAAATCTGATGTAGATAACCCAAAATTCTGTATTTGTCCGTTGAAATAAAACTGCAAAGCTGGTGATTTTTTTCAGTCATCGACTGCACATTTCTAATTTCATGAGGTGATATGAAAACTTAATTCAGTGAAACTTGAACAGTTGAGAACTAATTGCATCTACTTTTTGATTGCTGCTTTAGTTATAGTCTTGTTTTGGTTTTGATTTTTCCCATGGCAGCCCTGTTCCGACACAACTCAAAATCTATCGTATAATTCTATAAAACTTATTGAATGAAACAAGTAAAAGAGAGCAATAGTTTAGCTCGTTTTAAAGTAACACTGATAGTTTTATTATGAATATTAAATCTAATAAAAGGCCTATAAAAAACAGGACATAAATTGCCAGAGTTAGGGAAATTCTCCTTTCGACTTAAAAAAAGAGAACCTTTGCCAGGTTGTTTCATTTAAATTTGCTTTCTTGGTATTTGTTCCTGGCAGTAAGCAGTCGGAATCAACCGATCAATTAAACATAAATTATGTCTGTTGCAAATTTTGGTTTATTTGAGCTAAAAATAGCAAAAGTTAACAGAAAAGAAAAGGAAAAGGGTTATCTTTAATATTCTTGGAAGATGTCTTAAACTGTTTTGCAACAGGAAAAATGCAGGGTTTAGAATTGTGATAAAAATCGTTTTAAATTAGAATTGATGTACGGGTTGGTATCCTATCGATTTAGGAGATTCGTTCGAATAAATCTTCCTTAATTCTCGTAAAATTTTGAAGGGGAATTGTGTTTATCAAAGAGATTTATAAAGCGTGGGTTGAAGGAAATCATAATTGCAATTTCTTCTTATTAAAGGAGACAATTTCGTGTTGTATTGTAAAAATTGCTATATCAATTTGAAAGCAACGATAAAAAACCTATTTATTTTATACCCGCCAAAGTCGCCAGTAATGGGTCTCTTGATTTCGAAATTAAGGAATATGACATTTTAGTAAAAATTTGCCAAAGTGAGGGAAAAAAATTTGACAGAATAGCAAAATATTGGAAATAATCAAATTTTGATACCTAAAATCATGTAGAGAAAGACTCCTTTTCTTTGCCAACGGAGAGACTTAAAAAATATATATTAAGTAACTTTTGGAGAGAAAAATGGAAATCAAACAGCTGGAGATCAAAGTGGCATGGGCTTGTATTTATTCATATGCAATCCAGCGCAGAAAAAACACTATTAGTGAAAGATGGCTTTGGTTTTTGGGGCGAAAGGTGCATGATTCCGGCTCTTTCATGAAAAATAACTTGCCGGCCTCGAAACTGGAAACAGCGACTGGAACAAGGTGAAATTCTAAGAAAGATCAAGAACTCGATGAAAGTCACCAAACAAGCAAACTACTTTTCAAGCGAGCGTAATCAGTAAACTTGATCTCAAAGTATCACGCAAAAAGCCGTCCACTCTCGATGACAAATGAACATCTCTTCTCGAACGCCACAAGAAAAGAAAACGAAATTCCATCAAGGTTTAATCTCTCTTATTTTGCTCAGTTTTCTCCTCTAATTATAGATTCCTATTTCAAATAGGAGAGATTTTCTTCTCATATAGTTTCTACAAGGGAATTTACCAGAACACCCCGAACTCGTCAGCACCACACCTAACACACACTTCTCCTGTCTCACTTCCAAACGGCTATTACGTATACGAAAGGATGAAAACTACCATAAGTAATATCAAAGCCTTTGATACCTCTAAAATGTATATCAATACTTTACTTTCTTCTGGTGGATTATACGCTGATCCGTATATATGCAGATTAAATAAAATCAGTCAGAATAACTGGGAATAATCCTACTTATATTGGAATAACAACAACTGCTGAAGTCGACGGCAAACTTGATTGTTCTCGTCGATAGAATGGAAAGTTACTCTGTGTCCTCTAAAGCAACAAAAGAAGTCACATAGCTTTGTTTGTATCAATTTAAGTACTGCATGTCATTACTCGTGGAATAAGGTGTCCCATAACTGGGTGAAATTATTTGATAAAACGCATAAATTTCCACGCTCTGGTGATCAACCTGATATATAAATGGAATTTCAGTTAGTGTCATCAACCGAGGTGATAACGTAATGTGGCCTCTAAAAAAAAAACCAAAGCCGACGTTCAAACGTTAGCCTTTAGTCCGAAGGAAACGTCAGCCTCAGAATCTCTAAACGGTGGCCAACCATGTCATCAACTCTTGTTATATTTTCCATCGAGGTACTTT